AAAAAAAATACTTTCCATTGCTTTTTTTCTTCTTAGATAAAGTCATGTGATTCTCACGTAATCACAACCTCAAAGTTCATCTCTTACTAAGAGTAAAATCTAGAAAAGTTATTAATATTAAAACACCTTTCTCAGGTTACAGAGGTAATGACAGAAATATAATGTGCTTTGTTTTCTTTTTAGATCTCCAACTAAAGACATGGAAGCAGAAGAGAAGGAAATTGTAGTCTGGGTTTGCCAAGAAGAAAAGATTGTCTGTGGGTTAACTAAACGCACCACCTCGGCTGACGTCATCCAGGCCTTGCTGGAGGAACACGAGGCTACCTTCGGGGAGAAGCGATTCCTGCTGGGAAAACCGAATGATTACTGCATCATCGAGAAGTGGAGAGGCTCAGAACGGGTTCTTCCTCCCCTGACTCGAATCCTGAAGCTCTGGAAATCATGGGGAGACGAGCAGCCTAACATGCAATTTGTTCTGGTTAAAGCAGATGCTTTTTTCCCGGTTCCCTTGTGGCGGACAGCCGAAACCAAATTAGTGGAAAACACAGAAAAACTGCGGGAGCTCAGCCCAGCGAACTATATGAAGACATTACCACCGGATAAGCAAAAAAGAATTGTCAGGAAAACATTCCGGAAACTGGCTAAAATCAAGCAGGACACAGTTTCGTATGATCGGGACAATATGGAGACATTAGTTCATCTGATTATCTCCCAGGACCATACTATTCATCAGCAAGTCCAGAGAATGAAAGAGTTGGATCTAGAAATTGAAAAGTGCGAAGCCAAGTTCCACCTGGATCGTGTGGAAAATAATGGAGAAAATTACGTCCAGGATGCATATTTGATGTCCACTTTCGGTGAAGTTGAGCAAAAACTAGACGTGCAGTCTGGGAAAAACCAGTCTCTGGAGGACCTGAGTGAAAGCGACGGAATTGTACAGTTGGAAGAGCGACTGAAATATTACAGAATGCTCATTGATAAACTCTCAGCCGAAATTGAAAAAGAGGTGAAAAGTGTTTGCTTTGGAATAAGCGAAGATCCAGAAGGGGCAGCCGCAGGTGAACTGGAAAACCCTAGCTTAGACAATGTGAAGTGCGATTTGGAGAAAAGCATGAAAGCTGGTTTGAAAATCCACTCGCACTTGAGTGGCATCCAGAAGGAGATTAAGTACAGTGACTCACTGCTTCAGATGAAAGCACAGGAATACGAACTCCTAGCCAAGGAGCTGAGTGCCCTTCCCATTAACAAAAAAGAGGAATGCCATTTAAAGGAAAACAGAGGAACGGAAGCTGAGGGTCCCTGCAGCGGTGGGGAGATGCCTCCATTTACCCAAAGGGCCTCTACCGTGTACACAAATGACACAGATTCAGACACTGGCATCAGCTCTAACCACAGTCAGGACTCAGAAATCACAGCTGGCGACATGGTGCTGCTGGCAACATAATGCAGATGGCTTCCTTGGACCTGCTTTAACGCTGTCTATCTCTGTGTAATTTAACGTGAAATTATTTCATATACACCTTTCTGAAAAATAGGGAAATCATGCCAAAATATTGAGTAGGTAAGCAACAGAAGTGAGGGTTTTTTTGTGGTATAAGATTTCCAGTGTGACTTTATTATAGGTTCAAGCAATGAATTATTTATTAGGAATGCAGCAGAACTAGTCTATTGGTATAGAACACAGAACTAATTAATGGGAATTATTTGATAATCTCATAGCTTCTATGGGAAATGACTTTATAAATTTAAAAACAATTCTCAATATTGCAAACTATTGGAACTACACATGTGAAGAAGTAATAGTAAAACGTGTTATATCTTTTCTCCAACATTATGTCCTTAGAAATTTTGTACCTGTAAAATACTGTGCTGTAGTTGCGTTAACCCAAATCTTGGTTCTGTTAATACTTAGGCTGTGCAATCTATCATGTCTGTCTCTTCCTGAACGCTTCTACCTGTTTATGCGCACATGACAGGTGACTGTTGGGACATGTACAAGTCCTGGCAGTGAGTTAGAGTAAGTATAGATGAGGCAAGGCCAACTGCTACTTATGAATGTTTTTTCCTCCTTAAAAATTCTACAGTCCTTAAGGGTTATGCATCTACTTTTGCTACTTGGAAATTGAGATCTTTTGATCCTATCAGTATTGGATGCAAGTTCGAGCTTGGTGGTGTAGCATGAGTTAGAGGAAATCAGTTATAGTCTTATTCATCTATGCCCTATCTACATAAGTGAAGTGATAAAATGTAAAGTTGCTTATGTGGGTGAAATAACATTCTACATGCCATCATTATTAACAGTTTTTCTCTAGATGCGTGGCGGGATATTTATATGGAAAAAGAATTATTCTGGTGTGCTATGTTTTAGATTCTCTATTTAGTACTTCCTCTAAAGTGCTTCAATAAGTTTTGTACTTTAAGAAACACTAGCAGCATCTAGGAATGCTAATAAAAACAAGAAATTCAATGCATTATTCAGGTTCTGCTTTGAACAACAGTCACTCTAGAGCCAGATAATATTTGCTTTTCCTTGATTTTTAATTAAAAATTTTATTTCTCCTCCTTCCTTCCATCCTACCTTTCGTTTTGTCCACTTGCCTGTCTGTCTTCCTCTTTGTTCATGCCTCTCTCGCCTTCTCATTACTTTCCTTTCTCCCTTTCTTCCTTCATCTTTGAAAGAATCTTATTCTTTTTCTGTACTGGTAACTTAGGACTCCTGCAATCTATGCTTTGGTTTTGTTTATTTGAGCTGACACCTTTCTTGTAAATACAGATATGTAAATATAAATATTATTTTATGTAGGCTTTATATGTGACATTGGTTAAGATTCTAAGTATTTCTTGTTTCTTACCTTCATATTCAGACTTTAGTGAGGGTTACACTTATTTTTTGAAATTTGAAAATAATTATTAACAATTTTATTGATAACTCAGTATTCTTAATGTACTCTTTCTTAGAAGTTCTTCATCTATTTTTCATTCTTTCCACTCTCCCTCATTTTTATGACCTTGGAGAAGATATTTAGAATTTCCATTTTTCAGTTTTGGAGATTATCTGTATTCTATTCTTTTGGACCAAGATTTTTGTAGACCATAGTTACGGTTGGTTGGTAATCAAAACAGAAATTTTCATCCCATGAAAATACATGGTAAACAGTAAGCAATATTAGCATGGGTTATATTTTTAAGTCAGGAATTGAATAATCATTTGCTAAAGTTTATGTCCCTAATAGCCCAATAAATCATGAAACAAAATGGTAAGATAATGATGTATTCATTGTTCTCTACTATGGATTAAATTTAGATCATTATGAATGATAAACAAATTACAGTATTGTTTTTCTAAAGTGAAAGAAATCTCCTTGGATGCTCTTATGTTTTGTAAGAAAATACAGGAAGAATGCCTATATTCTCATGTAATGTGCCAGACTGATTTCCAGTGTTTTTTTTTTTAAGAATGGATTAGGGATAGAAATTAATTTAGTAACTTTGAAATAACATGTTTTCATTCCATTGAAAAAAATCATCCAGTCTGTCAATCAAATATTTTATATTAAACAGGAAAGCAAGACCATTGATTTTAAATTCGCTTAAAATTTTCTACTTGAACTTCAGTTATTCAAATATGCTTGTGCTTTTTGGGCATTACAGTATTAAATTATATGATTAATATAATTAATCTCTAATTTAGAGTTACATATTTTTACATTAATGGAAATATTAAAATACAATGTCCCAAGGCCTAGATACTAGCTACTCCTTTCTGAGAATGAATTAAAATATAGGACTTGTTTAAGGATTTAGTATTTTTCTTACATATAGAAACTTTTTTGGGGAGGTACCAGGAAACAAACTCATGACCTTGCACTTGCCAGGCAGACCCTTTACCTCTGAGCTCTATCCCTGAGCCCTATCTACAGAAACTTTAAAATGAAGTATTTTTACATTCTGAAATAACCTGACCAGTTAAGTCTGAAATAGCTATATGCAGCTAGAAGAAGAAAACCAAAGCTGACTGTTCTTCATTTCCATAGCAAGAAGGATTTTCACAGATGGAACCTTGCTTGTCTTTGCCTTGGATTTCTGATTTTTCTTTGCATATGCTGTACGCTGCAATGCTACTCGTTTTCACAGTGCTTAAATGTCACCTTTTCTGTGAAGCTTTTTGTTAAATTCAGCCAGTTCTAAACTCTTGTCTCTGTGTCCGCAGATTTTGAGATGTACTTCTCATTTACTTCTGCGTTTACATCCTACTTTAGGTTGTATTTATTTACATACGGATCCCACTCCCCTCCTTCAGGGGATTCCTAGCATATTACTTTATTATCTTTCTTGCCGAGTTTGCTCACTCCAACATTTTTAGTTCCCCATATATTTGAATTGAATGGCTAAATTTTAGATCAGCATCATCTTTGTGCTTTGCTTAAAATATTAATTGATATTTGTGCATTTTGTACATAAATATGAATTTTAGCAGATTTAAAATATTAACAGGAATTTATAAATTTTGAGGGGTAGGCACTACATTTTAATGTTTCTAAGAATTGTTTTTTAATGTGAGTCATTTCAAAAAATTGACAATAAAATTGTACATTATTATGTGGTACTGTGTGATGTTTCAATGCACATGTACACTGTATAATTTTCAGATCATGGTAAAGCGTTCAATTTTTAATTTTATTTTTAATCCACAGGATTACTGACTTACAAATCAAACAATACCTTTAAAACCTAATTTAATTATAAATTTATAAAATTTTTCTCAGTCTTTTGTATTTATAAGAATTGATTATAGAATTGGAACACACACAAAGTAACTCCTTGAAGAGGAACACACACAAAGTAACTCTGAAATATCCTAAATAAATATCTATTTTCTTTCTATTCTTACATATACAAAATGACCTATTAGTGTGTACAATCTAGTCTAATCCATTAAATTTTTATTTTTATATTTATTTAAACACCTTATATACATGACAGAGTATATTCCTGTGGCTGCCTTTTATAATTGTTCAAAGTAGAGCTATTACTGTTCTATTTAAAACATGTTTTTCTAGTGACCAAGGACTCTCTTTTTAATCCTGATATACAGATTTTAAAATATTAGGATACTTCTTTGCATCTTGCCTAGTTTAATAAGCCTTATGTGACAAATATAAAGAATATATAACTTCTTCAAGTTGTATCTAATCCAAAACAATAAATGAAATAAGCGCAAATTCTTGTGATATTATCTTTCTGGAACTGTTATGTAAGTATATTAAAAATTACTTGGATATCAGTTTGAATTGTATTATTGTTAAATCAACTCGTGATCTAAAATAGTATTTAATAACCATATAAATATACAACAAATAAATATAAAACTTTTATTAATACATGTTTATCCCAATATTTTGTGAAAGAATATCCTAGTTTACATGTTGATTTTATGACATATTATCTTGATATCAAGAATGAAATTACCCTAATATGAAAGTATTCAAAAACATATAAACTTTTCATTTAGAATGCTTTTTGTTACAACTATTACTTTTCAAAAGAAGCTTTTAGTTTTGGGTATTTTAAATATCTAAATCGCTTGAGTAATAGGGAACTTCACTTGCTCAATTTGTAAATGATCATGAGTGTCCTTATAGAAAAATTGTATGTAAAGCCCAGTAAAACACATAGGAATAAGTTAACATCATTTTCTTTATCAGTGTATCTTAATAATGAAAGAAAATACACAATAGTTTGTTAGACTAGATTTATTTTTTGTTTTTACCAATTGTTCAAATTGAAAATAACAATATTTAAATTCTATAAGCAGTTCACATCAGAAAGTGAAAATCTCAATGGTTATCTTGATTATTCAAATAAAAACAATTCAGTTATTAGTTTTCTTTTGTAGGCATACTTTTTTTTAACTGAAGGCTACATAGTCTCTTACTATTTTATAAATTTTATTGGTCTTTTTAAAAAAATGGGCATCATGTAAAGTAAATCTCCTAGCCCTGTGGCATACCGACCCAATACCCTCATTCTGATATATCAAATGTTAATTATTATTATTAATTATTCTGGAGGTAATAAATATATATCTTACAGATATGCATATTTTCATAAACATATTTTTTTCTTACAAAGGACTGTTTAGAATACAGATGTTCCAGTATCTTGCCTTCCCTTGTAACACTTCTTATTCTGAGATGTGCTTGTTCTTAAGATCGTGCTATACTGTTTATAAAGCGATGCCTTGTCTTATTTGGTTGTAACAAGGAATTTCATTATATTAGTAAAATAATTTATTTAACTAGCATTTTCTGAATGCTACTGAGTGGTTTCTGATCACTTATCGTGCCATTTTAAATAATATTATACGGTCAGTGAATTTCTGTGAAGCCAGATGTAAAAATACTGCATCAAATAATGACAAGCACATTCTTACTTTTTACGTTTATACTTTGTACATACTAGTTGCCCAAATGAATGGCTTTTGTTGTGACTTTTCATATATGTATACAGTATACTTAGATTATATCTATGTTACCCTTTTTATGACCTTCTGCCCTCCTTCTAGCCCCATTTTTCTACCCTAATGGTCCCCCTTCTACGTTTATGTAATTTTCTTGCTTTTTCCAAATTACATAAATGAGAGAAAATGTAACAGCTATTTTTGAGTCTGACTTATCTTGCTGAAAATCATAAATTCCATTTCTACTCATTTTCTTGTGAATGGCATAATTTCATTCTTTTTTAGAGCTGAACAGTACACCATTGTATGTAAATATCACATTTTCTTATGCAGCTATAGGTTTGTGGGCATCCAGCCTGTTTGCATAACTTGGCTATTGTGAGTACAGGCATAAACACAGGTGTGCAACTATCTCTAGAGTGTGACCACATAGATTCTCTCACATATATAGCCAGGAGTAGTATATCTATGTATTTAGCTTATTTTCAGTTTTTTCTTTGGGGGGGGAAATATCTGTACTATTTTACATAGTGTCTGTACTATTTAAATTCCCACCAATAGAAGAGTGTTCCTTTCTCTCCATGTCCTCCCCGGAATTTGTTATTTTATTGTTGTTGTTTTCATAATAGCTATACTGACCAGTTGAAATGGGAATCTCAGTGTAGTTTCGATCAGCATTTCCCTAATAACTATTGAACATTTTTTCAGTTATTGGCCATCTGTACTTCAACTTGGGGAAGTGTCTGTTTAAATCAAATATGTTTTGAACTTTGGAAAACATTAATAATACATCTCAATGGAACTTAATCCAAGTAGAACATAATTTGGAAATATACTCTTCATATCTACATGTTTTTATTTATTACACTACTGGGAGTTGAGTTTAAGGGCTTCACACTGAGCTACCTCCCTAATTCTTCTTATTTTATTTTTTATATTTTTAGGCAGGGTCTTACTAAGTCATAAAACTGCACAGACTGACGTTGAGCTTGCAATCCTCATGCCTCAGCCTCCCAGAGGGCTGGGATTATAGCTATGCAGCACTGTGCCTGGATTATTCATATATTTAATGCACAAAATTAAATTATATAGTTCATTTTATGAATTAATAACTTGAAGTATTAACATTATTTTTATAAAGGGCTTCACACTGCATGATAAATAATTTTTAAGTTTTTATTAGTACATGTTTATAGCCATAATGCTTACATTTGTGGGGAATTGGCACATAGACATCATGCATCATAATTCTTTTTTTAATCCCCTTGCACTTTCCTCTCGCTCCCCTTCATGCATCTCTTGATCCCCTTCCTTTCTTCGCACAGGTTTGCAGGACATAATTTTTCCATTCCTTATACGGAGTTGGTACCTGTGCATGACACACCACAATCCATTTTATCACCCCGCTTCTCCCCTTCCTCCCTCTCATCTCTTAATATCTTTCCATTTGAGAAAATCTATCTCCCTACTTTCTATTATCTATCTTTTATTTTACTTATCATTTATCCTTTGGGTTTCTCATATAAGAGAAGCCATGAGATATTTAAGCTTGCGTGTCTGATTTATTTCGCTTAACATTATCAGGGTGCATCCATTTCTCGACAAATAACCCAAGCTTATCTTCTTCTGGCAGAGTAGTGTTCCACATCGCTATGAAATATCCACAATGACTGCGATCTAAAAGTACGAGTTCTGTGTATTTAATACTTATATTCTCAACATTATACTTGTGTATTTCTACCATATACCAGGTCTACCATTCATGTTATTCAAGAACTTTCCACTTTGAAACTAAAGCAAATTTAAATGCCCTTTTACACCAAGTAAAACTCCAGATTTACTTTTGGCAATTGGTGTAACATATTAGGTAGGAATTTGGAAATACTGGTATAGTTCAACACTGTCAAATACTCATAGATTTTAGTCAGTATGCCTATAATTCATAATACATAATGAGAAAGTATTCCAAAAAAGTAAAAACAAACGTACCTGAAGGTATTCATGCTACCTTTATATATACTAGCTATGTACAAGTCCAACAATAAAGGAAATATTTATTACATTTTAGATTAGTTCAAGTTATTGACATCTATTAATATTATTACTGATGTTTATGAAGACATACAATGATAAATTTGGTTCAAATGAAATGAATTTTAGTAGACAATTTAAATATGTTACAAAATAAAAAAGCATACAAAAAACAAATCTATACAATGGAAAAACATAATTTTAAGAGATTTTTGTTAAATTAATATATTCTATTTTTATTTTCCCTGTAAGTATAAAATCTTTATAACTTAAAACA